CCACACAGTCACACCGAGAGGAGCTTCTATGTCATGTACTAAACCTCACAGTCACACCGAGAGGAGCTTCTACATCAGGTACTAAACCTCACAGTCACACAGAGAGGAGCTTTACAGCCTATGTAATTTCTGAGTTTCAGTGGAAATATAATTTCTCTCATTCTCCATGTGACCTGCTCTCCTCCTGTCTCCCATTTTCCCTTCCCCTGTCTCTAGGTCGCTCTTTGACTACGACAAGACGGCGGACTGTGGCTTCCTCAGCCAGGCTCTGAGCTTCCGCTTCGGCGAGATCCTGCACGTGCTGGACTGCACCGACGAGGAGTGGTGGCAGGCGCGGCGGATCAGCATAAACGGGGACGTGGAGGAGGTCGGCTTCATCCCCAGCAAGAGGAGGTGAGCCGTCCCAGATGCTTTGCCATAGTCCCTTAACTGAGGGCCCCAAAAATCAGTGTTTGTTTATTTCCGACTGTTCATTTCTGTACATTTTGCAGCCAGACAGTTGTGTATTCTATCAGTCTGTGAGACCCACCTTACTCAGAAATAATAAATCTTAAGGTGATTTCTTTACTTAGGGTGGAGAGGAAGGAGTGGACTCGCCTGAAGACGAAAGAGAGGGTGAGTAAAGTGTGACATAGCCTGTCACTGCACTTTAAAGCATGCCGCTCTGGAACTGCCGTTAGGACCGCGGTGTAGGACATTAAGAGTGTTTGAGCGCCTGTGTAATTGTGGTGGTATCCATGTTTGTTACTGTGTTTGGTTATATACAGGAGTCGCATTTGCCTAATGACTGCACTTCTCTCCTGTACAGGACCGGAGTCGAGACAGCTTAGGTTCACAAGGTAACGTTGTGTATAGATTCACGCACTGTAACAGAACAGGGAGGTCTGTCAGGTCAGCGATATCGAGTTTGCCAAAGAGCAGAAAAGCAAATGACCATTCAGTTCCTTCTAAATATATAACTGAGGTTAGCATGGGGGCTTGTGGTTTGTAAGTTGGGTTGAAAGCACCTGGAATAGACTGTGATTGATTAGTTTCAATTTTGTGCTCGCACAAGCAGAGAATCATTAAATGAGGCAGTATGGCGTGATGATTGATTATTGACCAAAATCTGTTTTTTCAGGGAGAGATGATTTCATACAGAGCTATGAGATGGTCACACAAGTGGAAGGTGAGCTTGGAGTATAACAAATTAAGATGGTAACTAACACAGGAGTGGAGGTTTAAGGTGTGGAGGTGACCTCTGTCTTGTATCTGCAGTACATTATGCGCGACCGATCATCATCCTGGGTCCGACCAAGGACAGGGTCAATGATGACCTTCTCTCTGAGTTCCCAGACAAGTTTGGCTCCTGTGTCCCCCGTAAGTGTCACTGTCTCTCCCCCCAAACCGCCTGGGGTGTACGCGCACTCTTATGCACCCTGCAGGCCCAGTGAGTAACAATGACCTACGCTTTCCTTCTCGTCAGACACGACGCGGCCCAAACGGGAGTACGAGGTGGACGGGCGGGATTACCACTTTGTGTCGTCGCGGGAGCAAATGGAGAAGGACATCCAGAGCCATCGGTTCATCGAGGCGGGCCAGTACAACAGCCACCTGTACGGCACCAGCGTGCAGAGCGTGCGGGAGGTGGCCGAGCAGGTGGGCGGAGCTGGA